ACCTCATCCAAGTTCCTTTTGGAGCCTCCAAGGAATCCTCACAGGGGTAGTGCCATCCCCATTCAAACTGGCACAAAATCCACATACCTAGAGCCGGGATTTGTAGGCTCAGGACCAGGTGAGCACCCCATTTATTGAACACATATCTGTGCCATCTATCACCATAAGTCTACACATTGGTTTGCTTTCTTCTCTTTTTTTCGTGTTCCTGAGAAATTCTTCAAGCCGAAGTAGGAGGGTGGTGCTACCATAACAGCACACAAGCCTTTATACGGAGCCAGTGTTTTCTATATACAGGCTCCTTGAAATGTGAGTGTAATATTCAACACAATATTATTATAATCACTGTGAAGCCATTTTTTAGTACCGTGTACACTATATTGTATTTTCTGTATTTTATGTTGACATGTACCCCATATTTTACCATTGAATGAGACTACGTTTTGGTAAGATTTATCTGTGTTTGAGCGCTCCACTTATAGGTGTAGGTCCTTGTCACTTACACCGCACCAATATCTTGTTTAGAAACGTTCGGCTCTCTGGAAGTAGTAGTGGAGGTGGGGAGTGGCGACTGCTAGTCTCCAGGTAAGAAATGCACCAGGTCAAAAAACATTTGAGTACGAACAACGGAAGGGCGTTAGGGCACTACTGCAATCCGTAGTGGTTATTGTACTTGGGAGTGTTTCTTTAACTTACCTTTTCCACCTATAAATCTGTTTACTAAACTATGCAGGTTCTTTGCATTATAGGCTTGGTGTTAAAAGGAAACTATAGTGCCCAACTCTCTCACACCTCTCTTAAAGCGTGAGGACATCCAGCGTCAGAAGTTCGCTAAGGACCCGGAAGTTCCTCTAGTTGCTCCTTGGTAGACCGATACTAGAGGTGGTGTTAACGGTAACGGTGTGATGTAATCACTTTAGAGAATGTACATTACAGCACTAAGTGGGCCAGAGACATCTCACCAGTGCACTTCAGTCAGATGAAGTTGTCTGGGTGCCTATAGTGTCCCTTTTAAAAAAGGACAAAAAACCCACACATTTCCAGGACTGATTTTTATGTATTTATTCTTCCAGTTTGTGTATGGAAATCAACTGACTCATCAGCAACCGTCCTTTGTCAAAGTGCTAAAATATTTCCTATTACTAAACTAGTTAGTTTAGATCTACCCTGCGGTGTTATGATTCTGTGGATCTGGGCAACCCAACATCCAGGTCGACAAAAAAAGGCTTTATAAGAACAAATATTGCAATTCTAGATTTTACAAAACGAAAAACCTGATTACAAGTAGTGAAAGTGTTAAGATCAACTACTAAATAAAGATGATGTGTGGATCAGATGTATATTGAAAATGAGAAAAGCCATAAAATGTAATATTTTGTGACACCTGGATTGAGTTAGTCCTGATCTGCCCTCTGCATCTTACTTTAAGTATGATTAATTACCCCTTCCCTACAGACAGTGGGGGGCCCTGCAACTAAAAGAACCAAGAGAGGTACCAATATCTTTAAAAACTTCATGTAAAAAGGGTTATTGAGTTTTTGTTTTTTAAACAAACATGTTAAAGCAGCACCTATTTTGATTTGCATTTCCTCCCATGCAACATAGCTACAGTTAAAATTAAACCACTTAAAGGAACCCTATAGTGTTAAAACCAACATTTTGGTGGTTTGCCCCCCTTAAAGGGACACTCCAGGCACCCAGACCACTTCTGCCCATTGGAGTGGTCTGGGTGCCAGCTCCCACTACCCTTAACCCTGCAACTGTAATTATTGCAGTTTTTTCATAAGCTGCAATAATTACCTTGCAGGGTTAACTCCACCTCTAGTGGCTGGCTACTAGACAGCCACTAGAGGGCACTTCCGGGATTATAGCACGTTTTCTGTGCTAGAGCGTCGCTGGACGTCCTCACGCTGTGTGAGGACCTCCAGCGTCGCTCAATTCCTATGGAGAGCTCTAATGCAGGCTTGCAATGTCAAAAAAGGTAGAGCAAGCTCTTCAGGGAACAGGATAGAACAATTTTTTTTTAGCAGGGTGAGAAATCAGCACTGTTTTATAGTATACGATAATTATGCGAGGCAGACATGTCAAAAATGTTACTATAGGCAATTAGTCTAAACATGAGGAGAACTCACTAAGTAAGTGATATTGCTTTTTGACCTGTAAGAGTAAGGACTGCTGGTGCCTAGTTAACTGCGTTGCCACTCTTTTTATCAACTAGGGCGTTCAAATCCTAGGTGGCAAACAGTATGCCCACTTCAAGGGGGAGTAAGCTAGGGGTGTTGCTACAGCTAGATATAATGGCAGGAGGGTGTTTTTAAATGTGAAAACAATAGTATTAAAAACAGCAGGTATAATTAAAATCAAGGTAGCCTGGCAACACATATTACTGGTGTTGAACCTAAAGTCAGAATGACTGCTCTACATGGTCTGTAAGAAATAATAATAAAAGTTATACAAGCTATCGCTGAGCAAAGTAAACAGGAAGAAACTAAATATAAGGAGATTGTCTCTGGGACTCTCACTGTGTTGCCCTCTCAGGTAGTAGGCCCTTTTTCTGTCGAGGCCGAGGAGTCATCCCAATCCCACCATCGGTAGACCTAGTGGGGGAGACGGTAGGCCGTAAGGGGGTACAGCTTGGCGTTGTCGATGTAGGGCTTCACATCCTCTCCAGATTTGGGCAAGAGTCGGCAGCACAATCGTATGAGCTTGAGAGTTCACACTGTGAGTCCGGATCTCAAGTGTCCACAGGTGCCTAATGTTTCCCTGCTGCTGCGGTGAATAGAGTGAGAATCTCCGCAGAGTCAGTAGGGGGAGCGCAAACTCTCGCAACCGTGGATGATGGCTCGTGGCTTGCTGCCGCCGTGCCCGGATGCATGTGGGCCTCCCCCATCGCGGGAGATAGGGAGGGGTCGATCCCTTTTCGTTCCGCTGCTTAGGTGTGTGCTCTTGGAGGGAAGCTGGATTCCGCCGGTGTGTGTCACCCTAAGGTGGTCTGCTGGGTAATGGATTCTGTCCTCGGACTTGCTTTTGAGGCAGCAGCAAATCTGTCACCAAATGCTTTTCCAGCTGGGCCCAAAAGTCCTAGAAGTTGCGTCCAATCTGAGCAGGGGGCACCCAGCAAGGCTGTTTTCCTCAGCACAGGTTAGTATCAGGCTCTGTGCAGTCGGGGGAGGTAGTTGCAGGAGTTGTCTGCTATGGCTTAGGAGCTGCTTAGGTCCAAGGAGGAGTGGGGGGAGAGGGTTTTTTCGAGCGAAGGGAGCTGCAGGACACACTTGAAAGTGAGGAAGTTGGCCGTTCCTCTCCAGCCCAGTCGACTGCAGGCCTCAGCCAACCTCCGGAGTCTCCCCGATGTCAAAGGCACTCGATTAAGTTATTGGTGGGTTCAACTCATCACACACAGTTCAGGCTATAAGGAAGCACCCTGCTTTCTGTGCGGTGAGTCAAATGGGAGCTCACCCTGTACATGTCTGGGCAGCATGCGGCTCAGGTTCTGCCCCTCCAAAAAAACAGACTGTTAACTTGAAAAATATTGCCTGGTTTTATGAACCTCAATTTCTGTTGCAACAAGATGGTGGTGGGAATGGAAGTTATTGTAAACTGTGTGAATCCATGTATCTGTCCTGTCTCTTATCAACAATAGGTAATGTTATTTTTTGAGGAATGTTTTCTTGATACATATCAGGTGCCTTTTATACTGCTTGAGCATGATTTAAATGCCATAAACATTAAACGAGCACTAACGTCACCCATCTCAATGAAGCTGTCTGGGTGCAATGGTTCTGTCATGTTATCCTTTCAATGTAAAACAGCCATTTCGAAGAAACTGCAATGGTTACGTTGAAGGGTTAAATACACCTCTAGCGTCTGTCTTCCTGTGGAGGAGGAATCTCGGGAAAAAAAGGGGAGCAATCTTTTTATTTTACTGCCAAATGTGGGTGGATAATGGTTTCAGTAATAGAAGAAACCTGCAGTCCCCAGAAATTAGAATGTTTGTTATTTCTGGGAGTATCTGTTCCCTAATATCTCTCTTCTGGCTACAGTTCAATTCTTTTCACATCTACCTACAACAGATATAGCCGCCCACATCACCACGAAAGTGAAATCCTTCTACTCTAATAGCCCGCAGAGCTCAGACCAGCAGATGAGTTGGGATGATGTAGTGATTTGTAATTGAAAAATTTGCAGGGAAATTGCATGATAATTAACTAAGTATTTGCCAGAAGTATTGCTTTGAGAACCTTGTTGAGGAATTCAGGTTCTTCTGGAGATAAGAGAGATAACCGGCACTAGATTCTGCGTAATGCTCATTAAATATGCTGACTAATTATATATGTAGATTGGCGTAAGCCCTAAATATGTTTGTGGCCAGAGGTGTCCTATGTGAAAGCGAGACACAGAAAGTAGTTCCCAGCTCCAGACGCTAACAGCATAAAATAAGCCAGATGTTTTTGATTTCCTTTCCTGAGAATAACTGGGTCAGCTGAAAAAACAGAGCGATGTGGCATGCCATTAAATGTGGTCTGTTTAGGGTTTGTGAGAATTGAAGTTACAAAATGAATCAATGAAGGCAGATTCCAAGAATTTATTGGCAGGTAACCAGCAGACGTTCGTTCTTTTTGGTTTGGACAGATAGCAGAAGGAAGTGTTACCAAGAGGTGAAAAAGTCAATGTTCATGTTCATGCTTGTGAGTTAGCTCTGTGGGTAACGTGGCAACTTCTTGCTGTTGGTAAATCTCACTTTACTAGGATACCTGCACCCGAACAGGGTTATACTTTTAGGTGGCCTTATGGTAAATATATCTAGGAGTTCACGCCAACTTCCCGGTTTCGCACACCTCCCTGTCACAGGTGCCTCATTCCAAGGCCCTATTAGCCTTGACCTGCACAGTCTCCCAGGGGAAGAATTATGCAAGTAAGTGGATTAATCTCATAAGAGCAGACATTTGGTGCTAGAGTAGGACCTGCCAAAGATCGGGTACATTGACATTGTGGCAGACTTATGCCAATGTATGATCATATAATGTAACTAAACCCCCATTGCTTTTGCCTAGATTAGGTGTTTAAAAAACAAAACAAAAAACCAACAACAACAAAAATAATACATTGTATGAGCTTTGAAGTTGATGTTTGGTAAGTGAGTGTATTTGATTTTGTATGAGAAGTGGGAACAAGAAGGGTGTTAAATGAACCCAGGCACACAGCTTTCCCCAATGTTATCTTACTGAATAACATCCTATCACCGATCACAAACATCTCATTATCTATTTAAAGGGACACTCCAGGCACCCAGACCACTGCTGCCCATTGGAGTGGTCTGGGTGCTAACTCCCACTAACCTTAACCCTGCAAGTGTAATTTTAGCAGTTTTTATAAACTGCATTAATTACCTTGCAGGGTTAACTCCACCTCTAGTGGCTGTCTACTAGACAGCCACTAGAAGGCACTTCCTGCTCTATAGCACAGAAAACCTGTGCTAGAGCATCGCTGGTCGTCCTCACGCTGTGTGAGGACCTCCAGCGCATTAGGTCTCCCCAGCCGGTGGGCGGGATCAGTCTCGCCCACCGGCCGACATGATGACTGGGAGGAGCTGTGGCGAAAAGAAACCACCGCCGAGGGACATCGGCGGGGTCTCGGGTAAGTGACCTGAAGGGGGTCTCACCCCTTCAGCAACCGAAGATGGGAGGTGGGAGAGGGGACCTGAAGTGCCAGGAAAACTGATTGTTTTCCTGGCACTGGAGTTTCCTTTTAAGGTAAATATTATATTTCATTTATGTAAACTGTTTAATTTGAAAGTCAAAATGTCTCATTTTTTTAAGTAATGTTTTATAAGTGTTCAGAATTTTAAAAACATTGTTTTGCTTCATTTTATCTTGTTTGTTGAACCTTGTGATGAGTAGGCTTTCAATAAATATTTTTCTTTTATTGAATTAAAGACAAACTAACGCAGTAAGAGGTGTTATCTAATGGGACACACACCAATACAGGCAACCTGTAAAACACAGTATGAGAGATTTGGCCTATATTTATCTTCTGGGTCTCCCAGCTGCTCTAAAACGAAATTACAAATACGTCTGTCCTTAAATTTAGTTTGCACCGTGTGTCTCCTCTTATGGATGGGGGTAGTGATTCTAAGTGTGTTTTGAGGGATAAGGGAGGTGGTGGGGGGGATAGCCCCATATCCGATTGCCTAGTATTAAAACATATGGATTCAATTTGACATTTTTTGTTTTATTATTTTTACAGGGCTGGTAACAGAAACCAGCTATAGGGGAAGATTAGAAGGAAAAAAAGGTTTAAGGGAGAAATCTGCCATGGAGTGGGGGAGTGTATTCGTATCCATTAACTCTTAACGACCAGGGTCTAGGCAAGGCCATTATTATCATGACTTTCATGGTAAGTAACCGGCCGTTACATGGCAATTCACTGGTTGTTACACGGCAAGTCACTGGCCGTTACATGGTAAATCACTGGTTATTACATGGTAAATCACTGGTCGTTACATGGTAAGTCACTGGCCGTCACATGGTAAGTCACTGGCCAGTTACATGGTAAATCACTGGTTATTACATGGTAAGTGACGGGTAAATCACTGTCCGTTACATGGTAAGTCACTGGTAAATCACTGGCTGTTACATGGCATGTCACTGGCTGTTACATGGCATGTCACAGGCCATTACATGGCAATTCACTGGTCGTTACATGGCAAGTCACTGGCAAATCACTGGCCATTACATGGTAAATCACTGGCTGTTACATGGTAAGTCACTGGTTGTTACATGGCAAGTCACTGGTCATTACATGGCAAGTCACTGACCGTTACATGGCAAGTCACTGACCGTTACATGGCAAGTCACTGGCTGTTTCATCGTAAGTCACTGGCTGTTACACGGTAAGTCACTGGCCTTTACATGGTAAGTGACTGGTAAATCACTAGCCAGTTACATGGTAAATTACTGGCCATTACATGGTAAATCACTGGTCGTTACATGGTAAGTCACTGGTAAATCACTGGCCGTTACATAGTAAACCACTGGCCGTTAAATGACAAGTCACTGGTCATTACATGGCAAGTCACTGGTCATTACATGGCAAGTCACTGACCGTTACATGGCAAGTCACTGGCTGTTTCATCGTAAGTCACTGGCTGTTACACGGTAAGGCACTGGTTGTTACATGGTAAGTCACTGGCCTTTACATGGTAAGTCACTGGTTGTTACATGCTAAGTCACTTGCCATTACATGGTAAGTCACTGACTGTTACATGGTGTGACGAAGTGCTCTTTGCCACTTGTGCCTGGAGGGGACTACTGGCTAGCATCCTGCCTTCCGACTATGGCCCCTGTCCTGATATTTTACCCTGCAGAAAGGTTTGTGTATTTCTGCCGGAGCGCTCGGGACTTTCAGTATGTGAGTAGTGCTACCCCAGATAGCTATGCCATGGAGCCTATTTGTGTAACGAAAGACTATGGAAAAGTCCGTGGCAATTGAACTGTATGTAGGTGATCTGAGCGCCATTTGGTAATATTGTGCGCTCAGATCTAAGCTATCTGGGGATATGTTGCATGTATATGTTTTATGTAGTAATTATAGAATTGTGTAATTTTATGTCTTTTTGTAACCATGTGGTTAATGGGGTCTTGCCTCTGTCCTGGGAGATAATTTGATTACTTCCCAATTATCTCCAGGATAGAGAGGAGGGATTGTGCTGTCACTGTGGGAGTGTTTTGTTTGTATTGTCTGTGATTGGCTAATATCCAATATTTTCCTTTAGGTCCCCTAGGGGAGTGTCCACCTCGTGGACACTTGCATAAATACCGGGCAGGTAGCCCTCAATAAAACAGACCTACTTGCACCTTTCTTGAAGCCTTGGCTCATGCTTGCTATAATCACTTACTCCCCAGAGTAAGCTCTTGTAAGAGCTTGATTTGTTCCTGCTACGCTCTCTGGATTTAGGAGAGGTTCACCCACTGGGAGCTTGATCCTGGTTGTGGATTCAAGGTGGGTGAGAGACTGTGAGACCCCGCCGCAGCTGGAAGTGGGGTCCGCAGTGCTGATGGTGTCGGTTGGAGTGCTCGGAGTCCTCGGCAAGCGCTAGGAGCATCGATTGGCGGAGTTACTCAGTCGGCGTGCCAGCGGTCCGTCACACATGGTAAATCACTGGTTATTACATGGTAAGTCACTGGTCGTTACATGGTAAATCACTGATTATTACATGGTAAGTCACTGGTCGTTACATGGTAAGTCACTTGCTGTTACATGGTAAATCACTCGCCATTACATGGCAAGTCACTGGCCGATACATGGCAAGTCACTGGTTATTACATGGTAAGTCACTGACCGTTACATAGCAAGTCAGTGGTCATTACATGGTTGGTGAGTCACCGGCTGTTACATGGCAAATCACTGGCCACTACATGGTAAGTCACTGGTCATTACATGCAGGGCTGCCATCAGAAATTTTGGGGCCCCTGACACAGCTCAAGGTCTGGGCCCCCCGGTGCTGGCACCCGAGTCCGCCCAAAGTTCTCCCCCCCCTCCCCCCGAGTCTGCCCACAGGGATGCAGTGTCTGCAGGGCCGGTGCAAGGATTTTTGCCGCCCTAGGCAAAAGTAAAGTTTGCCGCCACCACAATGCCCCACCCATATGATCTGCCATGTTAACTAACACCAGTGCTGCAGTGCGCTGTGTTTACATTAAACGGCCTGCAGGGACAGGCTAGACATTAAGCTGCAGTGGTTCTTGGGATTATAGTATCCCTTTAATGTGAGGTAAATTAGAGATTAGTGCCACGAATAATATACTAGATTGCCTACTTACAACCAGATGAGGATGATGATGGGCTCTAGCTGCAGTCTGGCTCCACTGGTCTGGTGTAGAACAGGCTCTCTGGAGGCGGTTTGTAACTGTGGTCACAAAATCAATGTTCTGGGAGAATGGGAAGCAGCTCCATTTTTTTGAGGGCCCTTTACACAGCTCAAGGTCTGGGTCCCAGGGTCCACCTTCATGTTCCACCAATGAGTTTGTTCACAGGGGGTGGAGTGTGTGTGGGGGGGATGTCCTGATGTGTGTAAGGAATGCATTGTGTGAATCTGTGTTTGTATGTGTAAGGGCTGCAAGGTGAGTTTGTGTATGTATGGGATGCAGTGTGTGCGTCTGTAAGGGATGCATTGAGTGTGTGTACGGGATGCATTGCTTGTGTATGTGTGTCTGTGTGTAATGCAGTGTGTGTTTTTCTGTGTGCAAGGGGTGCATTGTGTGCAATTTCCTTCTTCTCACCCTCCCTCTCCCTCCAATTTCCTTCTTCTTCCCCTCCCTCTCTAACTTCCTTCTTCTACCCCCTCTCCAATTTCCTCCTTCTCCCCCTCCCTCTCATTTCCTTCTCCCCCTCCCTCTCATTTCCTTCTCCCCCCCTCCAATTTCCTTCTTCTCCCCCCTCCAATTTCCTTCTTCTCCCCCCCTAATTTCCTTCTTCTCCCCAATTTCCCCCAATTTCCTTCTTCTCCCCCCAATTTCCTTCTTCTCCCCCTCCTCAATTCCTTCTTCTCCCCCCCTCCCTCAAATTTTCTTCCTCTCCCCCCCCCTCCCTCAAATTCTTCCTTTCCCCCCCTCCCTTCCTCAAATTTCCTTTCTCTCCCCCCTCCCTCCCTCAAATTTGCCTTCCTCTTCCCCCACTCCCTCCCTCAAATTTCCTTCCTCTCCCTCCCTCCCTCAAATTTCCTTCCCTCCCCCCTCAAATTTCCTTCCTATCCCCCCCCTTTTTTTTCCATCCCCCCAGCCTCCCTACCTGTAGGAGTGCTGAGGAGATTCCCAGGGGTCCAGTAGTGTCACCCGGCGGCCAGTCCTGCGGGTGGGTGCACTCTTCCTGGCTGAGTGCTTCCTCTTCAGCTCCCTCGCGCGCCACGTACTGATGCCGGCGCCGGAAGATGACGTCATCTTCCGGCTCCGGTATCAGTGTGGTGCGCGAGGGAGCTGAAGAGGAAGCACTCAGCCAGGGAGAGTGCTCCCTCGCGTGCCTGCCGGGTGTCAGCAGGGCCAGCCTCTGGGGGGCCCTGAGGTGACTGGCTGCTGGGCCCCCCAGGTGATGAGGCTGGCCCAGTGGGTACAAACCCCTGCGACCCAGTATGTACACCATTGAATGCACCACTGAATGTACACCACCTGAGCAGTCCGGGCCCCCCAGGACCGCCGGGCCCATGACAACTGTTACAGTTGTCATGCCCTGATGGCGGCCCAGATTACATGGTTGGTGTGTCACCGCCCGTTACAT